ACCAACTGCTCCACAGGAAAAAGATGGACAATCTTCTGTCATGCCACTTAACAACCTATAGAAACCCAAGGGAGGGTCAGCTCTGAGTCTGCTCTGACTTGATGGTACCCAACAACGTCAATAATTTTATTTAATTAATGAGTTAAATGTGTCAGTACAGACAGAGAAGAAGAAAATTAAAAACATGCCTCATCAATATGCTGTCTATAAGCGACACATCTTACACACCAAGATTAAAAATTCTTGTAAGTAGAAAAAAATTCTATCAGCTAAATGGTAAACAAAAAAAAAGAGCTAAGATGGTAATATTTTCTGAGAAAACAGATTTCAAACCAATAATCAGGATGAAAAACAGGAAGGGAATTATACAGTGATTAAAAAGGTAACTGAACAAGAGGACATAACTATAATTAATACTTATGTATCCAATGTCAGAGCCCCTAGATACATTAACTGATGTGAAAACAGAAACAAGCAACTATACAATAACAGGTTTCAATACATCACTGTGGGTGACAGAACTACTAGAAAGAAATTCAACAAAGACATAGAACTAAATGATACAATTAGCCAACCGGCTTTCATAAACATATGGAACACTCCACCCATTGCAATTACTTGCTAGGGTTGATAGAAGAATTGATGCCTTTGAGTTGTGGTGCTGGAGTACTGAATATACCATGGACTGTTAGAAGAATAAACAGGTTCGTCCTTGAGAGGGTGAGACCAGGCTGCTCCTTGGAGGCAAGGATTTTTTAATTTAATTTTATTTTATTTTATTAATTTTAAGGAACATTTACAGAGATTTTGGATTTCCATTCATTCATTGTTGCACTTTTCTCCACGCCCACCCCTCCTCCCAGTTCACTCCTCTCTTTGAAAAGTAAAATTCTTTCATTGGTATATAGTCCCCCCACCATCCCGAGTACACTCCACTATGCAACCTTAATTCTGGACTCTTGTCATAACCATAATACGCTATCATATATCACTTTTAAACTGTTCTCTCCCTCATCTGTTTCAATGCAGTATACATAATTTATCCAGTTTTTCTCAGTCTTACCCCGACTCATGCAATATTATTAAAAATGGATGACCCTGGAGGACATTATGCTGAGTGAAATTTCTCAGTCACAAAAGGACAAACACTGCATGGTGCCACTGTTGTAGAATAGGATTCTAAAGCTTCGTCTGACATACTCTGGACATGCTGCAAGAAGGGGCTAGTCCTTGGAGAGGGACGTCATATTTGGAAGAATGGAGGGACAGTGCTAGAGAGGAAGACCCTGGATGAGATGGATTGATTCAGTGACTGGGGTAATGGGGGTAGGTATGTCAGCAACAATAAGACTGGCACAGGATAGAGCAGGGTTTAGGGCTGTTGTACACAGGGTTGCTATGAGCTGCAGACGGCTCAAATACTGTCCTCCAGTGCATAAGGAAAATTCTCCAGAAAAAGACTATGAGTTGAGTCACAAAGCAAACGTCAATGGATTAAAATACAGAAATACTACAAAGCATCTTCTCAGATCAGAATATTACCCAACTAGAAATGACCAATAGGGAGGGAGATCAAGTATATGGAAAATAAGTATTACCCTACTTCATCACTGTTGGGTAACAGAATGTAAAAAATTTCTTGAAGCAAATGAGAATGAAAATACATCAAAATCCTTTGGCAGCCAATTTATAATAATAAATAAATAAAAACTGGCAAAATCAATACCTTAATCTAACATCTATAACTATTAGAAAAACAAGAATAAAAAGGACAACAGAATATCATGAAGAACTATGTTATTAGATGCTGTTGAGTCAAACACAACTCATAGCAACCCTACGATCAACATATCGATCTGTACTTTTTCTTATCCTGTGACATCCTCATCTCTTGATATACTTGAGGAACTCTGCTAATCTGAAAAACCCAGAGGAAAAGGACACATTTTTACAAACTCACTGCCAACCTAAAATAACACAGAAAGAGGAAGAAAATTTGAAAAAACATATCACAAAAGAAGAAACTTGGCAGGTCAAAACCCCCTCTCCTAACCAAAAAACATTATGGAAGCAGGAGTGGCATCCACTTCCGTAAATAGCTTGCCTCGGGAAAACACTACGAACATCGAGGAAGGATGAAAGTAACACAAATGTCCAGGGCTTTCATTCATAGGGTCGCTATGAGTCGCCTACAACTCAATGGCACTTAACAACAACAACCAATAAACAAAGTCCTAGCCCAGATAGCGTCACTAGTGAATTTTATTAAACATTCATAGGAGAGCTAATGATGATTCCATTCAAACTATTTCAGGATGCCAAAGAAAGATGGAATACTCATGAACGTATTTTATGAACTCAGTTTAACATAAACACCATAGCCAGGCAAAGATACCACTAAAGAAGAAGATTATAGGCCAGTATCCCTCATGAACATACATACAAAAATTAACAAATTCTAAAAAGAATTCATCATGACCAACCACGATTCATACCAAGTGTGTAAGGATGGGTCAACACTAACAGAAACAGTCCAATTCAACCCTATCAATAAATCAAAGGAAAAGAGTCACATGATCCTATCAGTCAATACAGAAAAGGCATTTGACAAAATTTAACATCCTTTCCTGTTTAAAATACTCAACAAGACAAAAACAGAAGAGAAATTTAACATCATTAATAGCAAATACGCAGATCCACTGTGAAGCTTGTGTACATTAATTCTGCACTCTGTTTATATACCATTTATCCACTGATGGACACTTGGGACATACTGCACAGCAACAGTAATCAAAGCAGCATGGTACCTGTATGGTAACAGAGATATAAATTAGTGAAATAGAATTAAGAATCCAGAAATAAATCCATACACTTCAGGACAGCTGATCCTGACTGTATAGAAAATCCATTGGGGGGGGGGGCGCGGAGATAGTTTAACAAATTGATACGAAATCTATACCTCTCACATTAAATACAAAAACTCACTCAAGATAGATCAAAGACCTAGTTATAAAACTTGAACCTATAAAGATCATCAAAGAAAAATCAAGGGACAAACTTAGGAGTCCTAACCTATGGCATAAATAAGACTATCATATATTATTGAAAATGCAAAATCATCAGAGATGATTAGGATCACCTAAAAATTACATTTTTATTTGGATCAAAATGTCTCCAAGAATAAAAAGAGTTATCTACAGAGTGAGACAAAAAAATTCGGCAATGACATATCTGACAAGGGACCCATCTCCAAAACTTTATAAACTTCAACACCTCAACAAGATAAAAATAAACAATTACCAAATGGGCAGAGAAAACATAAAAAGACACTTCACCAAAGACATTCAGATGTCCAACACACATGAAAAAATATTCAGAATCATTAGCAATTATTCTGCCAAATACCATCAAGTCAGAATCCATCCATAACTGACCCTCTAGTGGCTCTTCAGAGGCCGTAAATCACACGGGAGGAGACTACCTGTCTTTCTCCCATTGAGCAGCTGGTGGATTCAAGCCATATGTTTTTGGGTTGGGAATGCAACTCCAAACAACAATGAGGCATCTCATCCTAGCAACAACAGCACTATTCAGTAAGAGAGTAAACACCAAATACTGATGGGCATATGGAGAGATTGGAACTCTACACTGCCAGTGGGAGTATAAAATAATGCAAATGCTATGTGAAGCTGTTTGACACTTCATTAAAAAGCTAAAACGGAAATAAATACCATTTGACTCAACAGCCCACTAGCAGGTATGCATCCTAAAGAACTAAGGGTTATGTTATGACACCATCAAATCTAAACACATCTGGGTTCACTGCTGCATGAATTGAACAGCAAAGTTGTTATTATTTAAATAACTCAATTGTCCTTAAATGGACACATGGATAAAGAAACCATGGTACATTCACACAATAAAGTACTATACAATGCTAAAATACAAGAATTTAAGACACAGCATATAGCACAGATGAACCTAGAAGATATTATACACAGAATGAAAATAAAGCAGTAAGATAAAAGACCAGTATTATAAAAAGCAAAATAAAAGTTTACATTCAGAATCATTCTTGGATAGTTATCAGGATAGAGAAAGGAGAGAAACAGGAATAAAAATTAGTAAATAGGCTATCATCATTACTATCAAGTTGGTTTCCACTCACAACCCTTCACTGGATTTCTTGGGCTGTAAATCTTCACAGGAAGAGACTGTCCCTTTCTTCCACAGAGCACCTGGTGAATTTAAACTGCCAACCTTATGGTTAGCATGACACATTAAGTACTACCCCATTAGAGTTCCTTAAATAGGTAATAGTCACATGTTAACATGGGTGAAGGGAAAGGCAATATATAATAAAGGAATGATCAGAACACCATCACCAAAGAAAGGCAGAGAGAAGCTGAGCTACAGTCCCAGAGGCACGCAGTCTGAATCCACCAGCTGGTCTGCAGAAGGATGGACAATCTTCTCCCATGCCATTTACTGTCTCTGAAAACCCACTGCAGAGTCATCTATGGTTCAGTTCTAACTCGAGGGGACACCCCCACAACAACAACAATAACAATACAAATACAGAGAGGTATATAGGATTAATGGAAATCAAATTACAGAGAAGAAATGGGGAAAGTGGCGATTACACTGTAGCTACTGTAGTTAGTGATATGGAATGAAATGTGCATATATGCTTGAAAGAAAAATCAGTTTGCTTTGTAAAGTTTTACTCAAATTACAGTTTTAAAAAAAATCTGGTCAGTGAAAACTTTATAAACATCAAAAGGAAAATGATAATAGAAAAGGTACAATCAGAATGGAATGAGAATAATGACATATTGTGAAAAACCTAACCAATCTCCCTGAACAATCTGTGTAGAATTTGTTAAAGAACTTAATTTGCTGTGTAAACTCTCACCTTAAACATTGTATAATGCTAAAAAACTATAGATCTGTAAGTTAATGCTACTGGCAAAAATGATTCGGAACAATATAAAGATTACCTTTTATGCCTTAGGAGTTTCGACATGCTGGTGAAGGTCCAACCACAACTGTCAGAGTCACAAACAAAAGGTCTTTCACCTTAGAGAAGACAAAATGGCAAGGCCTCATTATAAATATGAGAGCTGCCACAAAGGCAAATCTTGCATCCAAATGCTGCTGCGATCTCTTTTGTTTACCTGTATGACTTCTCAGGTGAATTTTCAGTCTACAGGCTTTGTCGTATTGCTTGCTGCATCCCGGAAAGGAGCAAGAAAAGAATTCTTGTTCCCTGAAGTGGGCTCGATTATGGGAAAAGAGAGCACTCACTGTGATAAAAGTCTTCTCACAGCCTGAAAAAGAAAACACACCATCTGTCTGCTTAACGGTACAAAACTCAACACAGTGCATGCTGTTCTCATTGAGGTATGCTTCACTCAGGTGCACCTCTAAAGGTACAACAGCCAAAGCAGGAGGGGTCAATGGGCCAGCAGGCAAAATCAAGCCACCACTGGACTTCCAAATGGAGCCAATTAGCAAGACAAAGTCCTCACCCAGGGTCAACTACTTATGGGTTTTATAGCAAAGAACCTGTAGCCATCTTGTGTGTGTTCCATGAACTCAAATGTCTGCTCACAAAACAAACATGAAAACCCAGTAAAAGAAATTAAAAACAAAGGAATATAGCTTTAGTCTAAGCATGAAAGAACACAACCACTGTAATAAAAATGTTCTCATCCTGTGGGGCTGGACAGCATCCTTTACACTTAGGAATATATTCAACCTACCCTACAGCTACTGTCAGGCTATGTTCCTTGAGCCCTTCAGCTCAGGGTTCACTGCTTGGGCAAGAAACATTCACTCATGGAGCTCTGGTGGCTTAATGCTAAGGAGACATGCTCCCAACCTAACAGCAGGTGGTTCAAAGCTACCAGCTGCTCCACAGAAGAAAAATGAGCAATCTCCTCCCCTGGGATTCACTGCCTCTGAAAACCCACTGGCGAAACAGCTAGGAGTCAGTTCGGAATGAACAGTGCATAATAACAACAACAACAACAGTTTTCACTCACTTGATTTTTTTGCACCAGATTCCTATTCAGTCCCAGAGTTGAGCCACCAACCTAGTAAAGTCCACCTCAGCAATTCTCAAATGCCTCAGAGCAGTGATTCTTCTTTGACAGAAACAGTCAGGACTCAATTAGGGCGGAAATCAGGCTAAAAGATACTATGTGTTGTAGCTCTTCTCAGTCTTTAACATGCTCCCACTGTGCCTGTGAAACAACCAGAAGATACATACTATACAGCTCCTTGGGGGCTCGTTCAGCTTGAAACTATGAGTCACTCCCTGGGAAAAGATGAGGCTGTCTGCTCTGATAAAGATGTACAACCTTGAAACTCTAAGGCAATGGTTTAGTTTGTATTTTACAACACATACATTAGGAGATAATGAGATTGGTACAGGACAGAACAGAGTTTAGGGCTGCTGTACATAGCGTCACTAGTCGCAAGCGACTCAACGGCACATAACAACATTAGGAGAGCAGTGTGTGACTATAATACAGTTAGCTATTTGTAGCACTGGGGGATGCTCAGTTAACAACTCAACTCACCACCATGCATCAAGTTCAAACAGACTCTTTGGGTTCTGAGGCTGTAGATGATCCCATCTTTCCGTAAAGGAGCAGCTGACATGCTGAACTGCCAGAGTCATGGTCTTTGGGTTAGCAGCAGGTATCCTCACTTTTCTTTTAATAAAAAGGGCATGGGAGGCCCACCACATTCTTCTACTCGATCCTTCCAATTTCAATCCCACTCCCTCTTACCCTTAGGGCCAAATCTTACTCCCATTCCTCTTACCCTTGGGGCCAAATTTTACTCCCACTCCTCACCAAAATTAAGTCTAAACCAAGTCTATTTTGTCTTCAACCTTTGAGCCCAGCCCACAATCTTCTCTTCCTCTACTGGAAGGGTACAGTCCCTCTAGGACCACTAAGCCTGCCTCCTCTAGGCTTCATCCCCACAGCTACAACAAAAACATAAGGAAGGTCAGAACTTTCTTTGTTCAGCCTCTCAGTTCCTGTACCTAAAAAACAAGGCTTGTTTTAAAACTTTAAAGTTCAAAAGACATAAAAGTATGTATCAAAGATATACATGAATTCTCTGTACTTCCGTCAAAATTTCTATGTAGACATAAAAGTGCTCTATAAAACAGTCCACTGAAAGAAAAAGGGATAAAATACTGCACAGTGCCACACTGTGAGTACTCCGTTAGGGCTTGAAAGCCCTAGACTTAGCCAGTTACCTCTGTCCTGGCACAATGTGCACTTAGGAAATATTTCACTTTTGTACAAGAAGGAAAAAGCTTGGCTTATAACTGTGCAACTGGCTATACAGAAGTTAACAATTCCAGTTGAGGATAGCCACATATGAACCTTAGAAGCAAGAATAGTGAAACTTCACCTCATATATTTTGGGTATATTATCAGGAGGGGCCAGTTCCTGGACAAGGACATCCTACTTGGAAAAGTAGTGAGACATGGGTCTAGGGCTCACCTTGAGACTTCATCCTTCAGACCCTCCCATAATTGTCTTAAACTTTCTTTCTTATGCATTAACATATGGTGAGTGCTGATGCTCCTTTGTGACAAGACATTGTTCTACATAGATGAAATTCTGAGATGTGAGATCACTTCGAAGAAATTCCTGGAGGATGTAAAAAACACCTTTCCTAACCAAGAGCTGGCCTTCTGAAGCAAAAAGGGGACCAATGAGAAGACTTTGCTACATAGTCTATGCTCACCATCCCATCCCACCGTAACTGTTACCTCTTGACTCAAAAGTCTCCTAGATTTCTTAAAACAGTGTTTCTCAAACTTTGTTATTATTACTGACCCCTTGAAGAATAACTTTACATCTTTTTTCCCCAACTCTATCAATGAAATTTTAATGACGTTTGTATTTGATTATGTACTGTTATGCAAATTTACATTAACGTATAAAAGGAGTAAGAATAGGAAAAAAAAGTCTCCTTGAAGAGCCAGCTGCACACGCACAAAACTGTCATAACCTTTCCTCTACAGGCCATGTCCCCACAATTCTCCACTTCCCCTTACAAATAAATAAAACTCCTCACCTAAACCTTAAACCTAAGCATGAATAATTATTTTATCACGGGCTGGCATCAATTTGTCCCTCTGTGTCTTACTTTGTAAACTCCCTTTAAACTTCTTTCCCTACTTACACAAAAAAAGTCTGGACTCCTGTTTCACTACTCTGAAAACAATCCAAATATAAAGAGTACATCAGGAACATTTTTAGTGGTCACATTTAAGGGGTACTCCAGTGGTTTTCCCACATTTGGAAATGAGTGAATGCATCCTGGATAATCACAGGAGTGTGTAACGGATAAGCACAGTGAAATTTTATCACATACTTTGGGGTATGCTGTCAGGTGGGACCAGTCCTTGGAAAAGGACATCACTCTTGGAAAGGTGGAGAGTCAGCAAAGGAGGGGAAGCCCCTCAAAAAGATGGATTGTCAGCGACTATAATGGTGGTCTTGAGTACACCGGAGATGATGAAGAAGATACGATGATGCACAGGGCACGGCAGGATTCAGATCCCTCATTTATAGAACCACTAGTATATAGTAGTAGTTGACTCAATGGCACTTAACAACCCCCACCAGTGGCTTAATGGAAAGAAGCTGTGTTGCCAATCCAAAGGCATTCGGTTCTAATTCACTGGCCACTCTGCAGGACAAAAACAATCTTCTCCCGTGCCATGGGCTGCTTCTGATAACCAGCTGTAGGAGAGCTATGATTTGACTAGACTGCACATAATCACCGAGAATACTAGAGGGTCAGTGCAAGAAAAGAAAATCCTCAAAGTGATGGCCTGACACAGTAACCATAACAATGGACTTGAGCACAGCAGAGATAACTAGAATGGCACAGACAGGATTGGGCAAGATTTCAATCTGTTGTACAGAGGGTCACTAGGGAGCGCTGGTGGCCTAGTGGTTAGGAATTGCACTGTCAACCCAATGACAGCAGAGGTTCAAATCCACGGGGAAAAAACTGGGCAATCAACCATCGGCGATTTACTGCTTCGGAAAGCCCAGTTATGGGTCCGTTCCGACTTAATGGTACACCCCACCACGGCAACTGAGCTGGGACAAATTTGACAGCCCCTAACAACCTCGGTCAAACGCGCACATACGATTTCAAATGCAACCAGATGGGGAGGAAAAAAGGGCAAAACAAAACTATAAGCAACAGCGAGGGGCGGGGGGACTAGCTCCCTCTGAGCACACAGGGATCTAGTAGGTTTGACAGGTAGCGGCGGCCGAGACCCCCGAGCACTGGGAGTCCGTCCCCGCCAGCATCCCATGCGCGATTACCGGGAAAATCACACTTGTAAGGCCGCTCCGGCTCGAAGTGGCTGCGCTGGTGGGAACTGAGTTTGGCGTGCGTGGGGAAGCGCTCTGAGCACACCTCGCACTTGAACAAGTTCTCTTGCTCGTGACCTTTCATGTGCGCCTTGAGATTGTAGATGGTGGTGAATTTCTTGCCGCAGGCACCCACGGGGCAGCTGAACGGGCGCAGCTTGTCGTGCGACTGCAGGTGCCGCTTGAGCTTGTAGGAGGTGGTGAAGGCCCAGCCGCAGCCGTCCAGCGGGCACTTGAAGGGTCGCCGGCCCTGGCTGTCCCCGTGCGTCAGCAGGTGGACCTTGAGCTGGTGCTTCCTGGCAAAGGCCTGCGCGCACTGCGGCTCCGGGCAGGGGTACCCCTGCGCGCCCGCGCTCCCGCGGCGGCCCTCCGCAGCGCTCGTGGGGTCCTGGCCCGATGCCGGGGCCTGGGTGCCGCCCTCGGGCGGCGTCGGCGGGTTACTGGGAGGCGACGGCGAAGCCAGCGTGAAGACGCCGTTGTCGAGGCGCACCAGCAGGTCCTGACCGGAGACGGCGAGCGCGCCCGCCAGGGCGGCGGCAGGGCTGGGGGCGGAGGCCCGGCCGCTGGGGCCCTGGTCCGGGGGAACTGCGGGACGTGCGCCGCGCCCGGCCTGCGCAGGATCGGAGCCCTCGGGGGCGCCGCGCGCCACCTCCAGCAGCACCACGAAGGAGCCGTCGCTGGCTGCGTCCCCCGGGGGCGGCGGGCTCAGCTCCGGGCCAGCCGGGGCCTGCTCGCGCTGAGGATCGGGGCCGCCATCTTCGGGACCGCACAGCAGCAGCAGACGGCGGCGCCCAGGCCCCGGGCTGAGCCGGCGGAACCAGCCGGGGGCGGAGCCAGGGCCGCCGGGTAGGCCTCCACGCGCGGCCCCGGCCGCTGGAAGCCCCTGGGTGTCCATCCCTAGGACCCCCTAGCAGCGTCCGACACTGGAGTCGTGGCGGAAGCTCAGCGCTGCTCCGCCCAGGACGTGCGCGAGAAACAGCGCGGTAAGCGACAAACTCCGGTGCGGAGACCGAGCTGGATTGAGGCTGAACGCATGCGCGGGAGCCCAAGTGAGTTCCGGCCGTTCAAGGCCGGCTGGGTCCCGCCTTCTCTTTGCTTCCCTACATTGCAAAAATAAAAATCCGCAACTGAGCTTTGCTGGCCTAGTGGCAAGAAGCCACCAGCTTCTCCGCGCAAGAAGTATGGGCAATCTCCTCCCATGTGATTAACTACCCTCTAAAAACCCACTGGAGGGTCAGCTATGGGTCGGTTCCGACCGGTGGTACACAACAACAAACAACACATTGAACATACCAGGGACTGTCGGAGAGAACAATCAAGTCTGTCCGGAGAGGGTAAAATCAGCTTGCTCCTTGAAGGCAAGGATTTTGAAACTCGTCTCACATATTTTGGGCGTGTTGCCGGGAGGGACCAGTCCTTAGAGAAAGATACCTTGCTTCAAAGGGTAGATGGAAAGGAAGATGCTGGATGAGATGAGTTGCCATCGTGACTGTGGCAGTGGGGTCAGGTGTGTCAGAGATGGTCGTGCTGGCCGAGGAGAGGGCAAGGTTCAGAAGCATTGCTCATAAGGTCCCAATGGATTGTAGTCAACACTCTGACACACAACAACAACATCCGGACTGTTGTAGCTATTGGGTTCCACTGAGTGGCCTCTGGTCCATGGCAACCCTGTGTTCAACAGAACGAAACTGACTCACATCCTCTGCTGTGCTGAGGCCCATTTTTTCTGTTATAGTGTCAGTCCATCTCAATTAAATAGTTACATTCACATAAATTTAAGAGATCAGGGAACTAAGTCACTGAGAACTGGAGTAACCGATCCAAGGTTACACACTCAGGAAATAGTAAGAGTTGTTACTGTTAAGTACGGATGAGTCATAACAGGTGCATAACTGACCTTCCAGACGGCTTTCAGAAGTAGTAAATCGCAAGGGAGGAGACTGCCCGTCCTTCTCCAGGAAAGCAGCTGGTAGATTCAAACTCCCATGTCTTAGGGATTGCACGCAGCTTCTTAAAGCTTCTTAAGAGTTAGGGTTAGAATTTGGCTTGTGACCACCATGTCCAGAGAAAACACCAAATGCAAATTGTTACACCTCACCTCCAGCCACTCAAGGTCTTCTTGGCCTGATCCTTGCCTACATTACCTACTAATTTCCCTCTACACTTCACACAACCTCACACTGCAACAAGCTGAATTCTTTCTTTTTACTTGAATTTCACCCTACTTCTGCCTCTTCTCACTCTCGGAGATTGAAGCTGGATCCCCTCCACCTCTCTTCATCATTACTAGCTCTTGTTCCAACAAATGTGATTCCAAAACTAATCCTCAGCCTCCATGTCATGCCTCCTCCACCCAATCTGTTCTTTGTAGAGTAGGATTGTGATAAAATAACAATACAAATATAATTATGCCTTCCTCCCCCTTAAGACGTATCTGTTATTGTTGTTATGTGCCCTCAAGTTGCCTGCAACTCATAGCAACCCTATGTGCAATAGTCCTAAACCCTGCTCTATCCTGTGCCAATCTTACTGTTTCTGACACACCTACCCCTAATACCCCAGCCACTGAATCTATCCATCTCATCCAGGGTCTTCCTGTCTTGCCCTGTTCCTCCACCTTCCCAAGCATGACGTCCCTCTACAGAGACTGGTCCCTCCTAGCAACATGTTCAAAGTATGTCAGACAAAGCTTCTGAATCCTTGCCTCCAAGGAGCAGACTGGTATCACCCTCTCTAGGAAGAGCCTGTTCTCCTAGCAGTCCATGGTATATTCAATACTCTTCTCCAGCGCCACAGCTCAAAGGCATCAATTCTTCTTCTACCATCCCTAGTCATTGTTCAGTTTTCCAATGCATAGCAAGTGATTGCAAAGACTATGACCCAGATCAGGCGCACCTTAGCCTCCAGACTGACATTGTTGCTCTTCAGTACTTTGGAGAGGTGTCACAAATGTTTAAGCATTACTGGCCTCCTAGTGAGGAGGTGCATTGTCAACCTTAAGGCAGGCACCCAGTTCAAATCTACCAGCAGCTTCACAGGAGAAAGATAAGCATTCTCTTCCCATGTGATTTACTGCTTCTGAAATTCCACTGGAGGGTCAGCTGTGAGTCTGTTCTGACTCGATGGCACATAATAACATTACCCAAATGGTTGTCATTTCAATTGAGCCTGTAGAAGGTGATGAAGGTCCAGCCACAGGCATTCAGCAGGTACATGAAGGGCATTCTTCTCTTTTAAGAACTTTGTATGATATTGTATGAGGTCTTAAAAGCAGACACCCATTGTGTATGTATATAGAGCAGTTTAAAATAGAGCCTTACCTCCATTTTGAAGTTTTCATATGAGTCTAGAATCTTAAATCTTGACAGTAGTTCCCTTAACTGCTGACCTGACAATATGCCCCTAAAAGAAACTTTATTGGTCTAGCAAGTACAGGATATCACAATCTATTCCCCAAAAAAATGTTTCCACTACTGCCATGCAGATGTAACTTATAATAGTTGAATCAATCACAGTATTATCAATAAATCTTTGCTAGTGAACACTTCCTACCCCTCACCCCCCCTACCCCAAGCACCTACCCCCACTCTACCCCAATCCCCTCCATGTGTGTGTCTCCAGTAGTTAGAATCCATCAATGATTCCTCAGGAGAAAGATCCTCCCGTGAAATTTATAGTCTCAGAAACCCTGGGGTCTGACTCCACAGCAATGAGAATGAATTGTTACTAGGTGCTGTCTAGTCGAGTATGACTCATAGCAACCCTATAAACAACAGATTTGAACCCTGTCCTATTCTGTGCCATCCTCACACTTCCTGACACACAAGATCCCATTGCAGCAGTCACTGTTTCAATCCATCTGGGTGAAGGTCTTCCTCTCCTTAGTCAAACCTCTATTTTTCCAAGCATCAAGTCCCTGTCGAAGGAATAACTCCTTCTACAATAGTATGTGAGGGGAAGCCTCATCATTCTTGCCTCCAAAGAGCACTCCAGCTGCACCCTAAGATTTCTTTGTTCTTTTGGCAGTCCATGGGATATTCAGTGTTCTTCTCCAACACATCTCCAAGGCATCAATTCTTCTTCTGTAATCCTTACCCATTGTCCAGCTCTCAAAAGCATAGCAAGTAAACAGAAAGACACACCTCAGCCCTCAACTGACATCATTGCTCCTCAATAATTTGAAGAGGTCCCTAACTGCAGGCTTTCCCAGTGCAATACATCTCCTGATTTCCTAGCTACTGGTACCAAGCGTGTTAATTATAGATCCAAGTAAGATGAAGTTGTTGATAGTTTCAATCTTTTTTCCATCCATCATGATGTTGCCTATTGGCCCAGTGGTAAGAATCTTTGTTTTCTTGGCACTGAGATGCAATTCAGATTGAAGACCACATTCCTTGACCTTCTGCAACAAGTGCTTCAAGTCCTCCTTGCTTTCAGCAGGCAAGGTTGTATTAACTGCATACTGCATGTTATTGATGGGTCTCCCTCTGATCCTGATACCACATTTCTCCTTATAAATCCAGTATATCAAATAATTTGCTCAGGATACAGATTTGATCAGTATGGATAAAGAATACAACCCTAATGCACATCTTTCTTAATTTTAAACCTTGTAGTGTTCCTTTGCTCTGTTCACACAACAGCTGCCTAGTCTAGGTATAGGTTTCACATGAGCACAATTAAGTGCTCATTCCCATTATCCTCATTGTTAGCCATACTTGTTATGATCCACACAGTCAAATGCCTTTGCATAGTCAATAAAGCACAAATAGACATTTTTCTGGTATTCTTTACTTTCAGCCAGGATCCATCTGATATCAGCAATGATATCCCTGGTGCCATGTCCTCTTCTAAATCCTGTTTGAACGTCTGGCAGTTCTAGGTACTATTCTAGCCATTTTGAATGATCGTCAGCAATATTTTGCTTGCATGTGATATTAATGATATTGTTCAATAGTTTCCACATTCTGTTAGATCACCTCTCTTTGAAACGGTAACAAATATTAATATCTTCCAATCTGGTGGCCAGACAGCTGTCATCCAAATTTCCTGGCATAGACTGGTGAGTGCATCCAAGGCTGCATCTGTTTACTGAAACAAGTCATTGGTACCCTATTGATTCCTAGGGCTTTATTTTTTGTCAATGCTTTCAATGCAGCTTCCACTTCCTCCTTCATTACCATTGTCTCTTACTCATAGGGTACTTCCTAAAATTTTTCAGTGTCAGTTCTTTTTGGTACAGTGAATCTGTATATTCCCTCCATCCTCTTTTGAGACTTTCTTGGCCATTCAATATATTGCCCATAACATCTTTCAATATTGCGACTGAAGGTTTAAAATTGTTTTTTCAGTTCTCTCAGCTTGAGAAATGCGGAGCAAATTCTTCCCTTTTTATCTTTCAACTAGATTGTGCTCTCTGCACATTCTCTTATAACGAGAGGAGCCCCAAAATAGGCATGATCGAGAAATTAATTTTTATAGCAGTTACCTATACTGCCATTGTCTTGTCCTGTGACCATCCTGTAATAAACTGAATGGCACATACCTTTAATCAAGCCTGTGATCCTATTTATGGAGCTCTGTGCCTTAGTCTGCAGTGAGTCACCGACAACCCAAAGCTGTGCCTCTCCAGCCTTTCCAACCCACCAGGCCCTCTTGGGAGAAAGACGGGCAATCTCCTGTCTGTAATTTACAGCCTTGCAAACCTGGTGGAGGATCATTATGAGTCAGAACCAACTTGATGACAGTGAGTTTTAATTTTTTTAATTATGTGTTTTCCATCTGTCCCTGCTAAACCCTAGCTTTTAGGAAACCTATATTTAACTTCCTTGTCTTTCACACAATTATTATTTTGTAACTTTCAGTTCCTGCTCCAGCTATTAAAAAATGCCTTCT